TCTCCAGAGATCACGAGGATTGCTATAAATGGCTGATTGGTTTCCTCCTGAACTCCTCATTGGTGAAAGATGTCCGTCCAGTCTACATACCCTGCGTTAACCTCAGTCATGAGGCCCATCAATGCTCATTCGCTATTCTCTACCACACCAAGAACAGAGGACGATTGAATGTCACCAACGTGGCGGACGCTCTGTATGATGAGGAGTTGGAGACTTTATCACGTATACTAGGTGAGAGAACATGCATTCAGTTAACTAAAGTGTTTCCTGTAGTCTTGGAAAAAACAAGGAAGATCTAGGAAATTTCCTTTGGTTTTTGTTTTTTTTTTGTAATACTACTTAATAAGAGAAAATGGGCCAAATGTACCCCTGAATCTGTGGACAATTAGGTGCCAAGTCGCGAGTCTTCTGTCTTCTGAACGGAAAAGTGGGAGGATCTTTTACAGGCACCTGTGCTGTTGCCTGGTAATATGGACATTTCCCATTGGCTCCGTCGGTGGGATCCCCAAATGGTCCTGATGAAAGCAGCAGTATAGTGATATTATGATGAGGGGTGGTAAAAAAGACTGCATAGCTCGGGCCTTGGCTGCAGTGGTGGATCACTAGTCTTCACTTCTAAAAGGATTAAATGGGAAGCATAGAGAATTTCCAACAACCTGAGAAGTATGCAAGAAATAGGTTGTTTGTTCATTATCACCTAGCAAGTTTAGGACAGGAATGGTCCATTTGTGATCCACATTAAACTTACCCTGTTATGTAAGAAAACTTGGTGGGATCATTTTATTTAGATCAGCCATATGGTGAGGCTGTTGGGGAAGAAAATCCAAAAATTCTTCTTTCTCCTCTGACCTCCTTACTAGAGGGTCACCAGCAGGAGGAAGGAGGTCCTGATTCTAAGGATCTTTATGTCACTAGAGGGATCACCAGCAGGAGAAAGGAGGTCCTGATTCCTCTATATAGATCCTATCACTAGAGGGATCACCAGCAGAGGAAGGAGGTCCTGATTCCCGTATATAGATTTTATATTACTAGAGGGGTCATCAACAGGAGAAAGGAGGTCCCGATTCCTCTATATAGATCTTTAAGAATCTTTATGTCACTAGAGGGGTCACCAACAGGAGAAAGGAGGTCCTGATTCCTTTATATAGATCTTTATATCATCACTAGAGGGGTCACCGGCAGGAGGAAGGAGGTCCTGATTCCTTTATATAGATCTTTATATACTATAGGGTCACCAACAGGAGGAAGGAGGTCCTGATTCCTCTATATAGATCTTTATATTACTAGAGGGGTCACCGGCAGGAGGAAGGAGGTCCCGATTCTTCTATATAGATCTTTATATCACTAGAGGGGTCTCTAGCAGGAGAAAAGAGGTCCTGATTCCTATATATAGATCTTTATATCACTAGAGGGGTCACTAGCAGGAGGAAGGAGGTCATGATTCCTCTGTATAGATCTTTATATCACTAGAGGGGTCACTAGCAGGAGGAAGGAGGTCCCGATTCCTCTATATAGATCCTATCACTAGAGGTGTCACCAGCAGGAGGAAGGAGGTCCTGATTCCTCTATATAGATCTATATGTCACTAGAGGGGTCACTAGCAGGAGGAAGGAGGTCCTGATTCCTCTATATAGATCCTATCACTAGAGGGGTCACCGGAAGGAGGAAGGAGGTCCTGATTCCTCTATATAGATCTTTATATCACTAGAGGGGTCACCGGCAGGAGAAGGAGGTCCTGATTCCTATATATAGATCCTATCACTAGAGGGGTCACCGGCAGGAGGAAGGTTGTCCTGATTCCTCTATATAGATCCTATCACTAGAGGTGTCACCAGTAGAGATGAGCGAAGTATTCAAAAATTCGATTTGACTGATTCGGCGAATTCGTGGAAAATATTCGATTCGAGTCGAATATATTTCGCGTGAATTTAAACTTAAAAAAGGGTGTTTTCTAGCTTCAGAGAGACTTAATATTAGTGCAGAACACTGTAACCTTTAATTTAAATGCCCTTGGAGTCTGCTGGGGAAGAGAAATAATACTGTCAGTCAGTATGACATGCAGATGAGTGCCGTCGATCTTAGAATCACCGCACATTTCACTCATTTGGCCAGTCACGGGGCCAAAACCAGTGTTTGGAGCCACAGTGTGGCGGTGGAGGCAGCAGCAATGGGAGGCCGTACAGGGACCCAATGACACACTCTGGACCTGGCAGCAGCATGAAGAGGCGGTACGGGGGACCAATGGCAGATTACAGGCCTGGCGGCACCTATGGGAGGCCCGTAATCTGTCAGCACCCTATGACAAAAAATGGAACACACAGCAGTGTGTGAGGAGACCTGAAAGTGGCACATGGCAGAGTGTGGCGATGGAGACAGCAGCAATGGGAGGCCGTACAGGGACCCATGAGAGACTCTGGACCTGGCAGCAGCATGAGGAGGCGGTATTAGGGGCCCATGGCAGATTAAGGCCTGGCAGCAGCAATGGGATGGCCCGTAATCTGCCAGCACCCTATGACAAAATGGAAACCCTGGGCTGGGGCAGGCAGAACCGCCGTATTTTTATCACGTTTTTCCCAGGCCACCGAATGGCGACGCTGCATATGCTGACGCAAACGCTGTAGTCCCAACATGGGCCCCCTGGGCCACGCTTGACTTTCTGGCCACATAGTCGACATACGGCTACGTTTACTTTCCTCAGGGGAGCGGCTTGACGAAAAAATTGCCACACGCCGAGTAGGTCGAAAACTTTGCCCCCGCTACTCCTCACTGGCTGACTGCTACTTCCTCCGTGCACACCGGCACCACTACTGGCCGTGGTGGTAGGCTGCAGTGGAGCTGGTGCTCTACTCCGTGGCCGTTTGCCTCCACTGACACTGCTGCGACCCTGCTGCCTCCTGGCAGCAGCAATGGGAGGCCTGTACAGGGACCCATGACACACTCTGGACCTGGCAGCAGCATGAAGAGGCGGTACAGGGGCCCATGGCAGATTACGGGCCTGGCGGCACCTATGGGAGGCCTTTAATCTGCCATAGAAACCTATGACAAAATGGAAAACCGCAGGAGTGTGAGGAGACCTCAAAGTGGCACATGGTACAGTGGGAGCAATGGGAGGCGGTACAGGGACCCAGGTCACACTGTGGGCCCAGCAGCAGCGTGACCAGGTGGTACGGGGGCCCATGGCCGATTTGGGGCCTGGTGGGCACCTATGGGAGGCCTTTAATCTGCCAGCAACCTATGACAAAATGGAAAACCGCAGGAGTGTGAGGAGACCTCAAAGTGGCACAAGGTAGAGTGGGAGCAATGGGAGGCCGTACAGGGACCCAGGTCACACTGTGGGCTCAGCAGCAGCGTGACCAGGCGGTACGGGTACGGGGGCCATGGCCGATTTGGGCCTGGCGGCACCTATGGGAGGCCTTTAATCTGCCAGCAACCTATGACAAAATGGAAAACCGCAGGAGTGTGAGGAGACCTCAAAGTGGCACATGGTACAGTGGGAGCAATGGGAGGCGGTACAGGGACCCAGGTCACACTGTGGGCTACTCAGCAGCAGCGTGACCAGGCGGTACGGGGGCCCATTTGCGATTTGGGGCCTGGCGGCACCTATGGGAGGCCTTTAATCTGCCAGCAACCTATGACAAAATGGAAAACCGCAGGAGTGTGAGGAGACCTCAAAGTGGCACATGGTAGAGTGGGAGCAATGGGAGGCGGTACAGGGACCCAGGTCACACTGTGGGCTCAGCAGCAGCGTGACCAGGCGGTACGGGGGGCCCATGGCCGATTTGGGGCCTGGCGGCACCTATGGGAGGCCTTTAATCTGCCAGCAACCTATGACAAAATGGAAAACCGCAGGAGTGTGAGGAGACCTCAAAGTGGCACATGGTTAGAGTGGGAGCAATGGGAGGCGGTACAGGGACCCAGGTCACACTGTGGGCTCAGCAGCAGCGTGTGACCAGGCGGTACGGGGGCCCATGGCCGATTTGGGGCCTGGCGGCACCTATGGGAGGCCTTTAATCTGCCAGCAACCTATGACAAAATGGAAAACCGCAGGAGTGTGAGGAGACCTCAAAGTGGCACATGGTAGAGTGGGAGCAATGGGAGGCGGTACAGGGGACCCAGGTCACACTGTGGGCTCAGCAGCAGCGTGACCAGGCGGTACGGGGGACCATGGCAGATTACAGGCCTGGCGGCACCTATGGGAGGCCCGTAATCTGTCAGCACCCTATGACAAAAAATGGAACACACCAGCAGTGTGTGAGGAGACCTGAAAGTGGCACATGGCAGAGTGTGGCGATGGAGACAGCAGCAATGGGAGGCCGTACAGGGACCCATGAGAGACTCTGGACCTGGCAGCAGCATGACAGGCGGTATAGGGGCCCATGGCAGATTAAGGCCTGGCAGCAGCATGGGAGGCCCGTAATCTGCCAGCACCCTATGACAAAATGGAACCCTGGGCTGGGGCAGGCAGAACCGCCGTAGTGGCACATTATCACGGTTTTTCCCAGGGGAGGCCAACCGAATGGCGACGCTGCATATGCTGACGCAACGCTGTAGTCCCAACATGGGCCCCCTGGCCACGCTTGACTTTCTGGCCACATAGTCGACATATGGCTACGTTTACTTTCCTCGGGCGGCTTGACGAAAATTGCCACACCGCCGAGTAGGAAACTTTGGGCCCCCTACTCCTCACTGGCTGACTGCTACTTCCTCCGTGCAACCGGCACCACTACTGGCCGTGGTGGTAGGCTGCAGTGGAGATGGTGCTCTACTCCGTGGCCGTTTGCCTCCACTGACACTGCTGCAGAGTGCTGCCTCCTGGCAGCAGCAATGGGGGAGGCCGTACAGGGACCCATGAGTCACACTCTGGACCTGGCAGCAGCATGAGAGGCGGTACAGGGGCCCATGGCAGATTACGGGCCTGGCAGCAGCTATGGGAGGCCTTAATCTGCCAGCACCTATGACAAAATGGAAACACCGCAGGAGTGTGAGGAGACCTGAAAGTGGCACATGGCAGAGTGTGGCGATGGAGACAGCAGCAATGGGAGGCCGTACAGGGACCCAGGTGAGACACTGTGGGACTCAGGCAGCAGCATGACCAGGCGGCGGTACGGGGGCCCATGGCCAGATTACATTTGGGCCACTGTGGCGGCACCTATGGGAGGCCCGTAATCTGCCAGCAACCTATGACAAAATGGAACACCGCAGCAGTGTGAGGAGACCTGAAAGTGGCACATGGCACAGTGTGGCATGGAGACAGCAGCAATGGGAGGCCGTACAGGGACCCATGAGACACTGTGGGCACTAGCAGCAGCGTGAGGAGGCGGTACGGGGGCCCATGGCGATTTGGGGCCTGGCAGCACAATGGGGGGGCCGTTAATCTGCCAGCACCTATGACAAAATGGAAACCAGCAGTGTGTGAGGAGACCTGAAAGTGGCACATGGCAGAGTGTGGCGATGGAGACAGCAGCAATGGGAGGCCGTACAGGGACCCATGGACACTGTGGGGCTGGCAGCAGCATGAGGACCAGGCGGTACAGGGGCCCATGGCAGATTTGGGGCCTGGCAGCACCTATGGGAGGCCTTAATCTGCCAGCACCCTATGACAAAAAATGGAAACACCAGCAGGAGTGTGAGGAGACCTGAAAGTGGCACATGGCAGAGTGGGAGCAATGGAGAGCAGCAGCAATGGGGTACAGGGACCCATGAGTCACACTGTGGGCTGGCCAGCAGCAGCGTGAGGAGGCGGTACGGGGGGCCCATGGCAGATTACAGGCCTGGCAGCAGCCTATGGGAGGCCCGTAATCTGCCAGCACCCTATGACAAAAAATGGAACACACCAGCAGTGTGTGAGGAGACCTGAAAGTGGCACATGGCAGAGTGTGGCGCATGGAGACAGCAGCAATGGGAGGCCGTACAGGGACCCATGAGAGACTCTGGACTCTGGCAGCAGCATGAGGAGGCGGTATAGGGGCCCATGGCAGATTAAGGGGCCTGGCAGCAGCAATGGGATGCCCGTAATCTGCCAGCACCCTATGACAAAATGGAACCCACCAGCAGTGTGGCAGGCAGAGAGACCTGAAAGTGGCACAGGCAGAGTGGGACGATGGAGACAGCAGCAATGGGAATGCTGTACAGGGAACATGGGCCCCCTGGCACTGTGCTTGACTTTCTGGCAGCAGCATGTCGGAGGCGGGTACGGGGGGCCCCTCGGGCGGCTTGACAGAAAAATTGCCACACCCGCAGCAGTAGGAGGCTTTGCCTCCGCACTCCTCACTGGCTGACTGCTACTTCCCCGTGCGCAGATGGCACCACTGACTGGCGTGTGGTGGTAGGCTGCAGTGGAGCTGGTGCAATGTGAGGACTCCGTGGCCGTTTGCCTCCACTGACACTGCTGCGACCCTGGAATGCCTCCTGGCAGATGCAATGGAGGCCGTACAGGGACCCATGACACACTCTGGACCTGGCAGCAGCATGAGGAGGCGGTACAGGGGCCCATGGCAGATTAGGGCCTGGCAGCAGCAATGGGAGGCCCGTAATCTGCCAGCACCCTATGACAAAAAATGGAACACACCAGCAGTGTGAGGAGACCTCAAAGTGGCACATGGCAGAGTGGGCGATGGAGACAGCAGCAATGGGAGGCCGTTACAGGGACCCATGGACACTCTGGACCTGGCAGCAGCATGAGGAGGCGGTACAGGGGCCCATGGCAGATTAGGGGCCTGGCAGCAGCTATGGGAGGCCCGTAATCTGCCAGCACCCTATGTCAAAAAATTCAACACACCAGCAGTGTGAGGAGGACCTGAAAGTGGCACATGGCAGAGTGTGGCGATGGAGACAGCAGCAATGGGAGGCCGTACAGGGACCCATGAAGACTCTGGACCTGGCAGCAGCATGAGGAGGCGGGCTTGGGTAGGCAGGCACATGGAGGCCGGTATAGGGGCCCATGGCAGATTAGGGGCCTGGCAGCAGCTATGGGAGGCCCGTAATCTGCCAGCACCCTATGTCAAAAAAAATTTGAACACACCAGCAGTGTGTGAGGAGACCTGAAAGTGGCACATGGCAGAGTGTGGCGATGGAGACAGCAGCAATGGGAGGCCGTACAGGGACCCATGAGAGACTCTGGACTTGGCAGCAGCATGAGGAGGCGGTATATAGGGGCCCATGGCAGATTAGGGGCCTGGCAGCAGCTATGGGAGGCCCGTAATCTGCCAGCACCCTATGTCAAAAAATTCAACACACCAGCAGCAGTGTGAGGAGACCTGAAAGTGGCACATGGCAGAGTGTGGCGATGGAGACAGCAGCAATGTGGCCGTACAGGGACCCATGAGGACTCTGGCAGCAGCAGAGGAGGCGGTACAGGGGCCCATGGCAGATTAGGGGCCTGGCAGCAGCTATGGGAGGCCCGTAATCTGCCAGCACCCTATGTCAAAAAATTCAACACACCAGCAGTGTGAGGAGACCTGAAAGTGGCACATGGCAGAGTGTGGCGATGGAGACAGCAGCAATGGGGAGGCCGTACAGGGACCCATGAGAGACTCTGGACCTGGCAGCAGCATGAGGAGGCGGGTACAGGGGCCCATGGCAGATTAGGGGGCCTGGCAGCAGCTATGGGAGGCCCGTAATCTGCCAGCACCCTATGTCAAAAAAATTCAACACACCAGCAGTGTGAGGAGACCTGAAAGTGGCACATGGCAGAGTGTGGCGATGGAGACAGCAGCAATGGGAGGCCGTACAGGGACCCATGACAGACACTCTGGACCTGGCAGCAGCATGAGGAGGCGGTATATAGGGGCCCATGGCAGATTAGGGGCCTGGCAGCAGCTATGGGAGGCCCGTAATCTGCCAGCACCCTATGTCAAAAAATTCAACACACCAGCAGTGTGTGAGGAGAAAAGTGGCCTGAAGTTGTGGCACATGGCAGTGTGTGGAGACCTGAAAGTGGCACATGGCAGGCCGTGAGAGACTGTGGACCCTGGCAGCAGCATGAGGAGGCGGTACAGGGGGCCCATGGCAGATTAGGGGCCTGGCAGCAGCTATGGGAGGCCCGTAATCTGCCAGCACCCTATGTCAAAAAATTCAACACACACAGCAGTGTGAAGAGACAGAATGTGGCACATGGCAGAGTGTGGGGCCCCATGGAGACAGCAGCAGCATGGGAGGCCCGTAATCTGCCAGCACCCTATGACAAAAAAAAACTGGAACACACCAGCAGTGTGAGGAGACCTGAAAGTGGCACATGTTTGGGGCATGATTCATGGCGGATTTAGTCAGTTGTGTCAGGAACTGGTGGTTTGAAATCCAGACTAATCCACGCCTGATTCATTTTCACAAAACGTGAGTCTCTCCACACTTTGGGGTGGACAGTCGTGTCCTCCGCGGAGTTACAATACCTCCTGCCGCACTAAAACACACGCGCTCCGATGCCACGCTACTGGCCGGGCATGACAGCCTTTCAAGGGCAAATTCAGCTAGTTGGGGCCAAAGGTCAAGTTTCGTTGCCCAGTAGTCAAGGGGATTGTCTACCTCGGTTGGCAGGGTGCTGTCCAAGTAGGCCCAAGCCTGTTGTTTGAGCTCCTGCTCCAGGTCCACCTGATGCTGCTGCTGCTGCTGCGGCTGGTTAGTAGTTTCCTCACTGCGCTGGTGAAGAAAGCTACTCATCATCGACTGCAGACTGAGGCAGCCGCTGCTGGTGGAGCTGCCACTGCTCCTACCACCCCACCCCTCCCCTGCTGCCATGGCAGCGGAACGCGAGCGCACAGGGCCCACAGTGTCTGAGGATGGACGTTGGCGCACAAAGGCAGAGACCAACTGACTACATAGGTGGTTTTTTATAGTACGTAATTTTGGCCTCCCTCTCAGCAGGTGTGAAAAAGGCCACCATTTTGGAACGGTAGCGAGGGTCCAACAAGGTGGACAGCCAAAAGTCATCCCTCTGTCTGATGGTTATTATTCGGCTGTCGCTACGCAAGCAAGCAACCGAGCATGCTATGGGCCATTTGTGCCAAGGAATGCGAGGGACTCCCTGCCTCCATCTCCACAGCATACTGCCACGGTGCGTCTGGGTCCTCTGTCTCCTCCTCCTCCTCCTCTACCAGATGCTCCTGCTCCTCCACTCCTGTCCGCTGAGTGGAAAAACCACCCATTTCACTCAATAATTCCTGAGCACAAATGTCCTCCTCTACCTCCTCCTCTTCTTCCTGTCCTGCCCCCACAGGGGTCATGTGGGCGTTGAGATCTGTGCGCCACGTCTACCGCACCCTGACCAGCCATTGTTAACAGCATTTGTTCCAGGACGTGCAACAGAGGAATGACGTCGTTCATCCCATAGTCCTGCCGACTCACGAATAGCGTGGCCTCCTCAAAGGGCCTGAGCAAGCGGCAGGTGTCACGCATGAGCTGCCAATGGCTGACATCGAAGTTACACAGGGGAGTACCTTTATCCGCTTGTAACATCAGGAAATCGGTGATGGCCTTTCGCTGCTCGTAAAGGCGGTCTAACATGTGTAGGGTTGAATTCCACCTTGTTGCAACGTCGCAGATCAGGCGATGCTGTGGAATTCCGTTCTGCCGCTGCAGCTCAAGGAGGGTGTGCTTTGCGGTGTAGGAATGGCTGAAATGCATGCAAAGTTTACGTGACATTTTAAGGATGTCTTGCAGTGGGATGGTGGATTTTAGGAACCGCTTGACAACCAGATTGAACACGTGAGCCATGCATGGCGCATGGCACAACCTTCCTTGACGCAGAGCAGACACCATGTTCTTTCCGTTGTCGGTCAACATGGTTCCGATTTTCAGTTTGCGCGGAGACAGCCATCTGTCGATTTCTCTGTTCATTACACTCAGAAGTTCCTCCCCTGTGTGACTACGTTCGCCAAGGCATACCAGGTGCAGCACAGCGTGACACCGTTGCGCCCTGCACATGTGATATGCCGGTCGGGTAATGGGACTTGGCACGGGGGTGGCGGCTGGCGGCTGAGGACACGGCGGAAGAAGAGGTGGTAGAGGCGGACATCTTTGCTGGACCAAGGACGTGCAAACGTGGAGGCAAAAGCGTCGTGACCTGTCCAAGTTGCTGGTGCGGCTGTGCCGGCACCACGTTCACCCAGTGGGCCGTAAATGACATGTACTGTCCCTGACCGTAGTTACAGCTCCACACGTCGGCGCTGCCGTGCACTTTGGCAGAGACCGACATGCTCAAAGACTGGCCCACCATCTCTTCTACATGTGTGAATGCAGGGCTGGCACTGCCTTTTTGGCGAAGAAATGACGGCTTGGCACTCTCCACCGCGGCGCGGCACAAGCCATCATTTCTCGGAAAGGTGCTGAGTCCACCACTTGGAAAGGGAGGGACTGCAGCACCAGCAACTTGGACAGGAGGACGTTCAGCTTTTGCACCGTCGGGTGCGTGCTCGCAAACTGTTGTCTCTTGGAAACGGATTCCAAGAAAGACTGCTGACGGAATCCGTGAAGAGGAGTAGCAGGAGAAGGAGCAT